TACCTCATCTCAATCTGCACCCGCCGCGATACCCGACCGGGTTCCTTCCCTTTCTGGTACTCCGCTCTGTTGCCTTAACACTGTCGCTCCGCTGCCTTGCTCCGTCCGCTGCTGCCCACATAGCCTAGTCGGACCCGCCCCTCTAGGATTTCGTCTCAGTCTTCACCGTAGTCACCCCACCCGTTGTTGTCTCCGCTCTTCGCTTGCGCAGTCTTTCGCCAGACCGCTCCAACCCACATGGTCCGACAGCCTCGTAAGCCCGACCCTCTCAGTCAAGCTTGACGGAGGTTTCGAAGGGAGCTAGCTACCAGCTGGCTCGATCACCTTTTCCCCTATATCTGGGCCCGACGAAGAACTGTAAGTCGGTATCGCCGCACCCCTCCACCGGGTTCTCCCCTCCTCTCTAGGTCCGGAAGGGCGGCCCTCACACACAGACTGTAGCCACAATGTCGGGGGCACGTGCCTCTTTGCAGGTTCGTAGTATTAGCCTAGGATACCACAGGTCTCGGCGGAGATTTGTGGTAATAGTAACAAAATTTTCTAATGGGAACCTTAGAGCCTGTTATGGAAAGAGGTTCCATGGGGCTGGCCCGAGCAGAGCCCCGCCGCGGGCTTCTTTATAGTGCCCTGGGGCCGCTCCGTCCGGGCTCAGTCAACTTTTCTGTGGGCCCCAACGGGCATGCTCGCACTCAAACCTCCCACGCCCGATTCACGGCTGGTGGGCGGTACGCCCGCAAAGGACTTGCACCACCCAAGTTTCTTCCACCTCGTGGGCTAATCAACCTATCGGCTAGTATGCATGTTGAACTCCTCGGTCCGTGTTTCAAAAACAGTCGGAACAGAGGAATTTATCCAGCATCCTGAATGCGCACAGAACCCGTAGGTCAACCAAGGGAGGCGCAGGCTCAATGTTCTTGACTGCCGCGACGGCCTCTAAAACCGGCACCGCGTCGTTGCCGTTTGACCTCGATCCCTGGGTCTCTTTTGATGACAATTCGACTTCGTAATCAATATTGCTAGGCCCAAGGTTGGATCTAATTTTAGTGGACACCTAAATAACCAGATACCGAGCAACGCGCGGATTTACCGAATGTCTTCAAAATCACGCTGTTGTCTATGCCGTCCTCCACACGTACTCACAAGTCACAGGCAAGCACAATAGTCAAAGAGACAAAATCTTTTTAATCCTAACTTAATCAGAAATAAAATTCAGGCCGGCAGGCACGCCGACTCTTCAATCATCAAGTAAAAAAATCACGCGCGCCTCAAAGCCTGCGCGCCCACACACCCTCTACACTAGTCAACCATCTAGTCAACTTAAATCACAGACTCAGCCGCGCCTCGCGCGGAATACTTGAATTTTAAACCACACCTATTTGTCGCTTGCAAAACCAGGGCGGACACCCTTGTAAGGGTATTCGCACCGACAACACCGCGACCTCAGGGCCTCGGAGTCAGTTCGGCCGACCGAAATGGTGAAGGCGTCGCAGGCCCATGTGGGACAAGGCCGGTAGCTGTTGGCCATTTGGACCTGCCCGCCGCGCCTACCTACGGAATCCCCGAAACTGTACAGACGAAAACCCCTGGAACGAAAAAGGGAAAAAAAAAAACGAGGGTGGTTTCGCACCGCGTAATGGCCGTTGCGAGTTCCCCCACGTGCGACCATGTCTGCCCCGTCTGCCATCGCTGGGCTTCGTCGTTGTTGCCCGAGAGAGAGAGAGAGAGAGAGAGAGAGAG